GTTAAGTGGTAATCAAAGTAAAAAAAACAAGAAACTTTTACGCTTCTTATCGTCTTTGGGATATTTTTTTACGTGTTGGTGACAATTGTTATGCCGTCGGTCAATTATTAATTTACCATATTTACAAAATACCACGGAACGATAGATTATTCACGTAAAGCAATAATTTGCCGTCACTTAACATTAGTCATATAAAGTAATAATAACTATTTATAAATACTACATAGCTTTTGTTGTGGTGGCATCGGTTGACTGTGGCAGAAGTGTTGTGTTAATACCCTGCCCGCTGCCCGACTCGTAGGAAAAAGGCAAGTGTCGATATAACAGCAATGTGCCACTCCGCACTGTGCAACCGCAGAAAAATAAGGCTGTCATTGTTCTGATGTTCCGATTTCCCCACCCTTATCCTCAACTTGTAGACCCGATTCGCAACTGGGATCGAAAAAGCTGGTGCTCACGAGCATTGGTTTTACTGGCCTGCTGAACGTATGTATATTGAAGTTACTTGTAATTTTAACAAAATTACTGTAGTAACCATCGTGAGCATCACATAACGTATTTTACTTTTTTTTTCAGATAAAGAGAGATAACGTCACACAAACGAGATGAGAAAAGTTTTGCCGACAAGTTCTAACGGCGGGGAAGCTCGCACGCAACCGTATTCATTATTTTGTCATAACAACTTTGTCATGACGATGCTATAAGGTTTAAAAGTAAGTTTTAAATTTATTCCCATAAAGTCTAAATACATATATACAATTAATAGGAAAAACTGACAACTTAAAATTTTATCAAAATAGTGGGTATTTCACTTAAATTATATGAGCATTCCTGAAAATTTGTTACATCCAAATACACATTTAAGGACTTTAAAATAAAACAAGTTTTTACGGATTTTAACGCGTGTATTAACTTATTTTATATTCCCGATATTTTGAGTATTTTACAGCAGCCATTGTCACGGGGGGCGGGGGGTTCTGAGGTGTTCAACGTCCTATTGTATAATTTACCACGGTTGCCTCCAGATTATGAATTTTATGTATTGTACGCAGTATGAATTTATTGTAAAGTAGTCTTGTAGTTGTTTGCATGGGTTGGGATTCAATTTTAATAATTATAGGATCTCAAGCAAATGGTAGCGCTCAGCAATTTTTTCTGTCGTCGTTTCATTCGGTTTGTCCTATGTAAAAGAGGCCACATTCACAATCAAGCTTGTACAATCCTGCATCTTGCAGAGTGACATTGACTGATAGTAAAACTTTACTAATTTTCTTCGGCGCCTTGAAGTATCTTTTAATGGAAGCACGCTTCAAGATGTAGCGAATCTTGTCAGTGACACCTCTGACATATGGCAATACAGTAGGCATACGCTCGAGTGTGATCAGCTTCACTTAATCACTGCGAAGAAGGCGTGGGATTGAAAGCTTTTTGTCATACAAACTCTGCTTGACGAGTTTGTGCACGAAATATAAAAAAAATATTAAGAACACGAAGACCACAACATGTTAATTGAATGCTGTGGCCTATAGGCACTTCTAAATCTATCCTCAATAAAGATTCAAAATACATATATGCAGTCACTTCGAGAACTAAGATGGAATGCTTCGCTTCCAGTAAAAAAGGTTCTCTTGTACTATACACTCATCATACAAAACACAACAGTATAAGGTAGGCAGCTGATATTCCAAGCTGGTACAAGTGATCTGAGAAAACATGATCTGCCTGTCTAGCCGATCTAATTGAAGTCATCATTGACATCGATCGAAGTTGACTGATTATGTAATCGTCAAATCAAAGTTATATGAAAAATAAATTATAACCTTGACCCTAACGATTAATTTTTTATATTTTATTTGAAATTAAGACTTACATTTATCATTTACAAATTACCTTAAAAATTTAGTAGTTATTTTGGGGGTCATTGTAGAAGCGTGCTCGTCGCGACCCCTGCCAGCCCTTTTCAGGGCTGCAATTCTACACAGCTGCACACACATGCAAACGAGGGTTCTGGCGTCCCCCCAAGGCGACGCACACCAGCTCGTACCCGTTGGGGTGGAATGCAGCGCGCAAAGCGGCGATGGGGACCGCCACCCGTCACGCACAGCCCGACACGGCGGAAGGTGGAGGACGGAGTGCAGAGTTGGCACGTGGAATGTTAGAGGGGGCATGAGAGATAAGACGAATGAGTTGATAGAAATAATGAAAGAAAGAGAATTAGATGTCGTGTGTATGTCGGAGACCAAACGGAAAGGCAGTGGTACTGAAGAGCTCCCTGGCGGGACGTTAGCTATATGGTTCGGAGTCCCGGAAAGCGAGAACGCCTGCCAGGGAGTGGGGGTGCTGTTGTCGTCCCGGTTGGTCGATCTTATGACTGAATATAAGGTTGTGAACTCAAGACTTCTCTAGGTTCGCCTTAAACTGGGAATGACGAAGTTATTCCTTTTGGCTGTTATGCGCCGGTAGCTTCGACGTCTGGGGCTGAGCTGGAGGAGTTTTGGGAGAATGTAAGAGAAGTACTAGATTTGGTTAAGGGAAACGAAAGAAATGTTGTATGTGGTGATTTGAATGGATGGGTAGGTATCGCTCGACCAGGTTACGAGTCGGTGCTTGGAAAGTTTGGCGATAAAAGGGTTAATGATGCTGGCAAGGTTTTACTGGCTGTATGCAAGGAAAAAGGGTCTTCTTGTAACAAACACTATGTTTAATCACAGGAAAATCCATATGTACACTAGAAAAAGAAAGAATGAGAGAAGTATGATTGATTTGTTTCTGGTGGATGATCGACTGCGAAAACAGGTGATGGATACACGAGTGTTCAGGGATTCTGACCTGGGAACGGATCACTATCTACTAATTACCAGATTTAGGGGTTTGTTCGCGGGTTGGCGCTACTGGACGGCAGTAACAGAACCACAGTCGGTCTGTCGCATCCGAAGCTTGAAGCTTCAGGAAGCGGATACTAAAGACAAATATCACACGAGGGTAGCCGAAAAGCTTGACACCATCGATGCCAGATAAGTATGTGTGAAAAGAACATGGCAGAATCTTAGGGATGGAACGACAAAAAGAGGTAGTAGTAAAAGAAGAGATGCATGGTGGAATGATGAAGTGAGAGAAGCTGTAAAGAAAAAGAAAAAAGCATGATTAGATTACTTGGCTTCTAGTAACGATAAACATATGAGAGAGGAGATGTAAAAAAAGATATAAGCTGCAGAAATTTCATGCGAAAACATTGATTGAGGAAGTACGTGAAAGGAGTAGAATAGAAGCGGACGAAAAGTTGTCGCACAACTTTAAGGAAAACTGCAAACTCTTCTGGAAAGAGGTTGGAAGGTCCCAGAGTGGTGTGGCAGCCTTCAGAATGAACAAAGTGCTTTCGAAAACCAATTTACACTAAAAGCAAGTTGAATGCAGTGGAGATGCGATCCCTTCGTAAAATGTGCGGCTTTACCATAGCCGACCGAAAGCGAAACAAAGAGATTCGCAATATGGCAGGATTGAAAGATGACATTATCACAAAAATGGATAGGGGCGTACTCCGATGGTTTGGACACGTTGAGCGAATGAGTGAAGACCGAATGGTGAAGAAAATATATAGCGAGAAAGTAAATATTAAAAGGTGTCGAGGTAGACCGAGACTAACTTCCGAAGACCATGTGAGCAAATTATTCGAAGAGGAGAAGGTCAAGAGTACTCGGATACCTAGATGTTCATGTATGAAGATAATGAACCTGAAAGAAGCGAAAGAGGTATGTAAGGATCGTGACACTTGGCGATCTGTTCTCTCTGGCTACCCCGTTAGGGATTGTGCGTGAAGATAAGTTAGTAAATAAGTAAAATTTTAGAAAAAGTAAGTTTAAAAAAGGTAATAAACAAATTAACAAAAAAAAAAAAGTAAAAAAACTACTATGCGGAAAAGAAGTTCAATTTACAGATATTCAGGAGTGTTATTTTACTTCGTAGCTTTATTAGGCGGGGTTAACTGTGCTTAGATATTTGTCTTTTTTACAAAATAAACGGATTGTAACGTTTAGTACATAGGACCCTGACTGAATATAAAAGTTAAATAATTAAACAGGTTTATTCATATAACTGTAATTTTGGTTTTGCATTTTATCCATAAATAATTGAACAATCAAACGAGCTTACCTGTAAGCGAAGTTCGATTGAGATTATACCTTGTTGTCTCTCCTCGACGATGGAAATAATACTATATGTTAGTATCGCTTCTTATCTCGGTGGCGTTACATAAGTTAAAAGTAACTTTAAAATTTCTGAACGCATCCTCTAGTTGCACCTCATTCGCGCCTCAATCTGTCAACTCATTTTAGTTTAAAGCATAAGTCTGATTCTATTTGGGACTGAGCCTGGTCTCATAGGGGATGGGTGGGTTCCATCGTCTTCGGAGAGACAACAAGGTATAATCTCAATCGAACTTCGCTTACAGGTAAGCTCGTTTGATTGTTCAATTATAGCCTTGTTGTCTCTCCTCGACGATGGAAATAATACTATATGTTAGATGTTCAAAGTCTCAGAACAGAATCAGACTTTAATTATAATTAAATTGTAACAATAAAGGTTAAGAACTTTTCTTATTAATAATTATTATAATTACAATTAGTCATCAATATTAATATTTTTAAAAACAGCATTAGCATAAATTGTGTCCTTATTGTTCAAAATAGGACGATTATAGAATCTAGCAAAACAAATTGAATTTTCGGTCCAACCAGCTGATTTTCTTATAATATCTATTGATACACCCGTATGGAATGCTGCTGAAGTAGAAGCATGCCTTGTGCTATGAGCAGAAAAAAATGTTCACATCTATACCACTTTCTTTTAAAATGTCTTTTATCCATCTGCTGATTGTACTTACTGATACCCCTCTATAGGGTTTCTTAAATGAAATAAATAAATTTTTTATGTTGCCTCTTATTTGTTCAGTTAACTTCAAATAATTAATCACTGCTCTAGCAGGACAAACATTAGGTTTTAAATCAAAAAAAAGGTAATACAAGCAATGGCTGCTGTCTGTAGGGGCCTGATGTCTTTAACAATTTGGAGATTGTAATACAAATCTTGTCATTCTCTATTTTTATTTTGTCAATTTCCACTGATGCTAAGGTTTGTGCTCTTCGTCCTGTTGCTAGAGCAAACAGCATTGCTGTTTTCTTTGTTTGGAATTTTACATCCTTTGTATCCATCTGATGAAGCTCAAGGTAATTGAACACTTCTGATACATTCCAAGTGAATTGATATTTGGGATTATTTGGTCTCAACCTATAGAACCCTTTAAATAATCTTTTTATTTGATCATTTATTCCAATATGAGAACCTATCAATAACGACAAGGCTGATCTTATGGAGTTAAGGCTTCCATAAGACATACCTTCATCAAACTTTACTGTGAGATAAGTTATAATTTGTGAAATATTGGCAGTATTTGTACTAATATTGTTAGATGAACAGTATATAAGCCAGTCCCTGAGGTAAGGTAAGTACTGCCTAAGTGTATTTTCTGATACTGAATTCAACATAATGTTGGTGGCTTCCTCACCAATGCCTGTGCTTAAAAATTTCTGGCGGAGAGCAGACCTGCCATCAAAGATAGGTTCTTGTGAAGAGAGTGCGGTGATCTGTAATTACACAGGGTAAGTAATTTTTTATTGGGTTGGAAAACAATAAAATCATTTACCAACAATTTTTTAAACAGTGGGAACCAGGGCTGCGTTGACCAGTAAGGTACAACAACTATGCCTTCCGCCTTGTCTAAAATTATTTTTTCTAAAGTTTTTAATACTAGTGAAAATGGTGGAAAAGCGTAGAAGAAAAGCTGGGACCAACATAATGTAAAAGCATCTACATTGATTGCATTAGGGTCTGGGTGCCACGACACATATTTTTTGCACTTAGCATTTGTTCGAGATGCAAACAAATCTATTTCAGGTGTACCGAAGGTTTGCACTATTTTCCTATAATACATCTGCCCTAGCTCCCACTCAGTGTGGCCAATATTCTTCCTTGATTGAAAATCAGCAGTGACATTATCTTTAGTGTTAATATATGATGCAAAAATCCAGAGGTTACTATCTTCACACCATTGCCAAATTTGCCTAGCAATATCATACAAGTGGGGGTATTGTATACCACCTAGCCTGTTTATATAAGCTATTGCAGTAGTATTATCTATTCGTAACAATATTTCAATATTTTTTAGATTCTTTGTGAAACTCTTTAGCCCGAAGAAAGCAGCTTTTAATTCTAAAGTATTGATATGTAATTTTGATTCTTGTTCTGTCCAGGGCCCACTAGCTGTCTGTCCAGCACATGAGGCACCCCAACCCGTGTTGGAAGCATCAGTGTGTATTTCTAAAACAAAATCACTCTTTCTTATTGGGCTTGTAGAATATTTAACTTTTTTCAGCCCACCATTTCAAATCCTGTTTGCAATGGTTAGGTAGTGAAATTTGTGCCTCATAATTATTATTATATTTTAAAAGTGATAAGTATTTATGTCGCTCAAGCAATTTTGTATATAACATACCATATTTAATTGCTGGACAAACAGATACTAGTGTTCCTAACACCTGAGCTAAAAATCTTATAGAAAATAATGGTTTCTTACTTAATTTTTTGATCAAGCGAAGGCAATTTTCTCTTTTTTCTCTTGTTATAGATATAGACATGTTTTCTGTATTGAAAACTAGTCCTAAGAATTTGCACTGGTGTGAGGGGGTGAGACTACACTTATTAATATTGACTATAAATCCTAAATTAGTAAATAATTTTAGAGTTAACTGTATCTTTTCAACACATTCATTGTAATTACTACAAATAAGTATATAGTCATCTAAATATTGAACCAGGCGTAACCCATCTTCTCTTAACCTGGCATTGATTGGTTTTAAAATCTTTGTAAAAACATAAGGTGCTGTACAAAGGCCGAAGGGGAGTACATTAAACTGATAGAGTTTGTTGTTAAAATAAAAACGTAGGTATTTCCTATGATCTAACTTAATACTTATCATATAATATGCATCCTTAATATCAATTGTTGCCAAATAATCATCTTTGTTAATTAATTTTAACACTGTACGATAGTCCTCTAATTTGAAATGATCCATTCTAACAAATTTATTGATTTCCTTTAGATTTAAAATAAATCTAAAGTCCCCGTTTGGTTTTCTAACTAAAAATATTGGTGAACAGAATTGGTCATGCACTGGTTCACAAGTCTCTATAGCCTGTATAGACAACAACTTATTAATTTCTATTTTTAATTGACTTAACTCAGTTAATGAAAAATTATTATTTAAGGGAAAATTATTTTGTATAGGTATGTGTTCAAATGGAATTGAATATCCCTTAACCCAATTGAGTATGACAGGTTCATTGGTCAATCTTTGCCAATTATTTATATAATATTGCAGTCTTCCTACCTGTGGTGTAGGAACCTCTAATATCGTCGAGGAGGCAGTGGTTTCTGTTGTTGTTGCTGCTGCTTGTTTTTGGGCTTGGTTATTCTCTTCCCCCCCAGCCTGGTGCTCAACTGAGGAGGGCCCCGCCAGTTTAAAGTCTTTGTTGGCCCCTTAAGTCGCTCCTGTTTTTCTTTCAGATCTTTTCCAGATCTCTGTATAATTTTTGCATTCTTTATTCTTTCTGCTAAATTTGTTCCGAATAAGAACATATCTGAGTCACCCTTTAGAGTCTCCTTAAGGTTGTGATTAACTGCATTAGTAATTAAAATTTTTCTATTATTGGTCTCAGATTGAAAATAATCACATAATAGTTTGGATGCATCATTTATGTTACGGATTATTTCTATTTTGTCTCCGTTCTTTAATATGGACTCTAAACCAGAGCCAATAGCAGTCAATACTGCAGCTATTTGTTTTTGTTTTTCTTTAATAATTGTATCCCTTTTCAGCATAGATGCTGAAATTGCTGAGATACATTCAGGGTTCAAAGTTGGTGCTATTAAACGTGGCACATTTTCGAATGGCATATATTTTTGCATAAGCTCTCTCTTGTCTTCCTTTTTTAGGCCTTTGCTCAGAATGGGTGTCCATCTGTTTGCAATTTCAGGGTGAAGAGGTGGACCTTTTTCTTGCTCTATGTTTATTTCACCCAGAACTGCTAATGCCTCAGCATCCAAATCCTGTACCTCTGGAACTTTATCAGGCTGATTTCCTGATTCGCTAGTAGAGGCCTGGCTATTTTGGTTTCCCAGAATCTGCAATTCCGATTGAGGTGATTCAGATTCCTCAGGTTTTTCTCTTTCTATTAAGCTATCATTTTCCATTTCTTCTGGTCAAGATACCTCTGAATCGGATTCAGATGTCACTGTTAAGAAACAGAACATAAATTACCTTAATGTATATACATTCTTTATGAAAATTTAGGGGCCATGTCTTAATTTTATAAACTGGTTCCATCACCCAAAACTACAGTTTAACCACACCATCTCCATTGATGGTGTGATTAAACTGTAGTTTTTTTTTTAACTTATATTAAGTCAGTGCTGGACCAAAATCTTAGTGGTAACTGGTGATGTAGCCCTAGATGGTAAATCGCACTTAGTGTCATCATCATCATCATTAAGCCCATCACAAGTTCACTGCTGAGCATAGGCTTCCCCCAAGGAATACCACAAAGCACGGTCCTGAGCCACCTGTATCCCTCTGTAATGTACGAAAGGTGTCAATTATGGAGACGTGTTACTTGTTCTAGATCTTTAATTATACTTATCTTGGCTGGGTCGCCATGTAATGTAGGAAAGGTGACAGTGAAAGAGACGTATTGTTAGTACTAAATCTTTAATTATACCCCCGCCTATTCTTAACTTAACTCTTGTATATAATGCCGTGGGGGCTACATTACACGTCCAACCGAAAAAAAAAATTAAAAATGAATACATTTGCTTATTTTACCTTATAAAAATAAATATAAAACTTAATACTAATAAGAATACAAAAGTCAAATTGTGTACATTTTATAGGTAGTTCGGGTGGCCAGATTTCCCTGTATCATATTATGGCAAGGTCACAATCTTGTACATAATTGCGTCACAGTTTAATAATAATAAACGTCTACATACGTTTAAATATTTCTATTTAAAAATCCACATGGTAGTTGTAGTCTTGTAGTGCATTAACTTAATAACTCGGTGTCTTGTACTCAGACTCAGCATATTTATGCCGTTCCTCTTAGACCGTACCGTAGAGTTTCCTTTATCCGCGCGGAGAATCGTTAGCTCTGGTCTGTTCCGTAAGTTAATCAACGCTGTAAATTCGTCTTTATGAAAGGTTTGGTTTCGGCACTGCACTACGACGTAACAAGGACGAAATATCTTGACGTATAGCCTCCAAATCTTCCTTACCGATATTATTCTTAAACAGACAATCCTTAAAACTTCAGATAATTTTAACCGACGCACAACGAAGTCTGCAGTCTGCGAAAATGTTCAAGATCGTCCCCACCATTACATCAGATTTTATAAACCACAAATCCTCGCAAAAGAACACCGATTCCTACCAAAGATGATACGTGAGGCTATTGAAATTAAAAATATCCTAATTTCAATAGAGAAGATGGTTGGGTGCTGCCATCTGCTTGGTATCCTATAATTAACAAAATTAAACCCAAACCCAAGCATACTACTGCAAGACTTCAAGATACTGTAAGTTCATTTTGCGTAAATCGGACCAAAATTAATATTCAAAAACTGAAGGTAGCCGGGCTAACAATGACATTGGGACGTCAAACATCTCAGTCCTCCCCGTGACCATGGGTGCTGTAAAGCACCCGAAACGTCGGGAATTAAAATAAGTAAAATCAGTTAAATAAACGCGATAGAATCCGTAAATTAATTTTATTCAACAAAATACAAATATTAATTTTAGCAATGTTAGCGATTTGAGACACCTTTGTTTTAAATTACAAAGTACTTCAATTATTGTTTTAATTATTTTTTTTTATTTGAGAATACAATATCTCAAGTTTTTTCATACAGTGTTAAAAATAACATCGGTTTAATGGCGACCCTCATTGTGCATACACTGATTAAGTCGATTTAAGAATTTCGTCTCCACTCCTTGCAGCATATCAATCAGTATGTTGGCAATGGCGTCGGGAATGTTGTTCTTGAGGTGAGCTATGGTCCGTGGTCAATCGACATAAATCAGGGATTTCAAATAATCCATAAATAAAAATCGCATGGAGCCAAATCTGGAGGGCGTGCCGGCCATGAGAGATAGATCTGAGAGAGATGAGGCGGTCGTGGAAATGTTGTCGCAACAAATTCATTAGGCCTCGTGCTGTGTGTGCTGTGACTCCATTTTGCTGAAACCACACGTCCCTAACGTTCATTTCTTCGACGCTAGTGTGACGGCCCAATATTATTATTAATAATTAAATTCAATATAAAGGGGCGTCAAAAATAGTCTTAAAATATATATATTAAGCAATAAAATTACATTAATAACCATAAAGTTAATATAAATACATTTCAGACATTAGACCAATAACATAGTAAATTAAAGGCAAAAATATTGTCTTCCATAATAAATAAATTTATTATAAAAACCTGTAAAAATATTTAAAACATGATAAACAATAGAAATACAATACCTTCAAGAAAAGAGCTTACTCCTTTCTAGGGCCCAACGCACCGCAATTCTCCTGGTGTTGCGGTTGATCAGGGGTAGTATACTAGGTGAGCCGCATGCTCGTTTGCCCCTTCTTCTTAAAAAAAATACAAGTTGAAAATATTATAAAAGTAAAGATAAATAACGTTTATAAGATAATTAGAAAATTTGTTAAAAATTATGGAAGTTATGGAAGGTGTTCATAAGATGTCTTGTGATGGATCTGCGGGTGTGCTGCGCCTGATTCGATGCATTCTTGTGGTTCTCGTCAATGGAGGTAAACAAATAACATCTTAGTGCCGGTGGTAAGCGAGTTTGTTGTAGCAATACGGTTTTCCCGTGAACATCGCACATCCATACTGTTAGTGGGCGACGTCGTAGCGCATAGCGATGCGTCGTCTACCTTTCGGATTGGGATGATGAGTGTGTTTGGTAGCACTTTTAAGTGAGATATACGTTGGTGATATTTTTTATATAACAACAATAAAAACTTTGTTACCAAAATCGATAGGGGTCATGTGGGTGTGTTGTGAGGGGGGCGCCATCCGTATGATAGTTGCATTGATGCTTACTGCTTCTTGCGGTATTGCGTCTTGTGATGGATCTGCGGGTGTGCTGCGCCTGATTCGACGCATTCTTGTGGTTGTGGTCGATGGAGGTATACCATTAACATCGTAGTGCCGGTGGTAAGCGGGTTTGTTGTAACAATACGGCTTTCCCGTGGACATCGCACATCCATACCGTTTGTGGGCGGCGTCGTAGCGCATAGTGATGCGTCGTCTACCTTTCGGATTGGGATGATGAGTGTGTTTGGTAGCACTTTTAAGTGTAACAGGCATACTCAACTTCATGTCTTAGTGCATTAGCGCTATGATACGTGGAGTTTTGTTCATTTTCGTCTTGTTAGCGTGCTACTATGATACGTTGGTGATATTTTTTAGTTAACAACAATACAAATTTTGTTACCAAAGTCGATAGAGATCTTGTGGGTGTGTTGTGAGGGGGGGCGCCACTCGTATGATAGTTGCATTGATGCTTACTGCTACTTGCGGTACTGCGTCTTGTGATGAATCTGCGTGTGTGCTGCGCCTGATTCGACACTCTCTTGTGGTTCTGGTCGATGGTATGTGATATGATGATGGAGGTATGCGGGTGGTGATATCTGCTGGGATGTATGGGGGACCTTGGAATCGTGTAAGCCCGACGATAGTCGTATTGATTTTTGTTGCGCTCTGCAGCATTGCGTCTCTGTGATGGTTGTATGGTTTGACGCTATTCTCAATGGCGCTCTCTGCGTCTTGGTTTGACTCACGCCTGAGTAGCTTTGCCCAAGTCAGGTCCCTTCATTACGGGGCTGCAGACTGTCTGCCCTCCACGATGTTTTATATAAAAACATAATATTATATCTCTGTAACTTTCCCACCTTTGAATGATTGAAGGCAACTTGTTGGTGGGTGAGACAAACATGATCGAAAATGCATTTACTCAACGTCAGTGACACAAACCCTTTCTGATGGCGAATTATTACTCTTATCTTATAACTGCCTTTTGGCTATATCTGTCGTTGTATTGGTTGGTGGAGCATATGTGTCGACCTCATGGGGGTGGTAGCTGGCGGGAAGATCTGAGGAGACTCTCAAGGATGCGGCCGAAAGGCGCACAACGTGGGACCCCATTCCCTTGAGGTGAGCGGTAGACTCATGACACGCTCTGCGGCTAGTAGCAGTGCTGATCATGCAATTGGTGGTGATGCCATACACTTACATCACGTCTGCAAGAGCGGCGGTCTGGTAGGTGGTAGCGCTTACGGAGGGTTTACGGCCAGTGTGCCTATTTGCCTAAACCGTGTGACGTACATTCACTGTGGCTGGATTCGTTCGTATTCTGTATGGCGTTTACACGCGGACTTCGGTCGATGTTTGTGCTTACGCACTAACAAGTGGCCAAGCCTCTTTACTGATTCGCCAGTTATTTTGCTGTGGACTACGGTCCAGTTCCCGAATTAGCGTTCCCTTCGGGGGGAGTGCATCAAAATGGTTGGCGCTCACCGTGCACGGCGTGTGTGGGGCCGTGGGCCTCCCCTACATTTTTTTAAATAAATGTAGCAGAGCGAAGCCCTTGTATCGGGTATTTTGTATAAATATATTTGAGCCTTTTCCGAGCGGGAAGGGATAAATAATAATAAATTAATAATGTAAACCTGATACAAGTGGGATAGGGACGTTTTAAGTTCTTAACATTTCTCGAGCCCTGTCTTCGTGAGCGGGGTTCACTTAGCTTATAAGGCACTACCAACAGCTTTCAATTGCTCTAGCGAATATTCATTCTTCCAAAAGACACCTATAAGAACTAAGTTACTAAGCAAACACAACGTAAATAAGGGTCCTAACCAAGACGATCATGCCAAAATTATTACAAACGGCCTATTATTAAACCTTTGGGAAGATCATATAGAAAGATCAAAACATATTTTATTAATCCTGGTCACATATATATAATTTTTATTATAAAGGGGAACTAATTATATTTAATATAATATTATTTTTATTTAGAGGGGGGAAGCGTTACACTAGGAAGAAAAAATTCTTCGATCATGTTTTTTTATAGAAGAGGGGGCAAACGAGCATGTGGCTCACCTGACGTTAAGTGACTACCG